CGTGGAAACTTGTAAGGGTTGCTATGAATTAAAACCAATTTGAAACCTTAACAACAAATAAACTTATACGTGCATGTACCTTTATTCCAATGTTTCTATACATATGTACCTACATAATTACACAATTTGTATAGATTACAGCATTTACAGAAATGGTCACATTTCTCATGTACATCATCTATATTTTGTCTTCCCTTTCTCATCACTGTAACATGTGGCTAATATCCACAAAATTATTCACCCTGCAGAAGGCATTTTTAAAATGTATTCATTTCTCAATGTTTGTCATTGTGATTGAGTAAACTTCTAAATTTATAATAACCAGTTAATATTTAGGACATACAGGGATGTTTCATTTAGTAGAAAGCCACCACCACTAATTTTACAACTGATGATTTTTAAATGTCTAATTCTTGATGGTCATTACCGTACAATGCACTGGATATGACCTGTACAACAACTGAACAGGGGCCTTAATTAGAATTCTGACAAGCCCACTCCAGTAAAATGAGATTATTTGTAATTGATGTCACAATCAATTACCATTTAGTTCATCATGAACATTCTAATAAGTTTGACCTTGGTCTTGGCCCCAAGATGTTGCAGGGTGAGTGGTTGCCCGGCTTATGCTGCTATTCAGACAGGAGGGCACATTTTCAGTTGGCATCCTAATGACCTCTTTTGCAGTCTATGAAATTAATGATCTTATTATTTGGATCTTTTACCAGTCAGTTTTCGGTTTGTGTAACAAAAATTGTTTGGAAGCAAAGTTAAAAAAATATATATTAGATTACCCACCTTAGGTTTTTTCTTCTTTAATGGGGTTGCTTTTCTTCTGATTTTAGGTGCCAACGGGTCATGTTTGGTTAGAAGGTGATAATCTACAGAACTCTACCGATTCTAGGTACTATGGACCTATTCCATATGGATTGATAAGAGGACGTATCTTCTTTAAGGTACTATTTTCTGTTTAAAATGTAGGCTTTCTTCTCTGAGGATAAAAGTTTCAACATGAACTTTGAAATCTAGGGACTGTCATTGGACATAACTATTGCAGTGATTACATTTTATGAACATGTCTGCAATTACTTGTTGCTAAGTGCCTTCGAGTTGGTTCTGACTCAAAGTGACCCTGTATAGGGTTTCCGATGCTTTTAAGTCTTGTGGGAGCAGAAAGCCTTATCTTCTCTCCCCTGGAGCAGCTGGTGGGATCGAACCATGGGCCTAGTGGTTCAGCCCAGTGTTTATTGTATGTTTTTGTTGTTCTTAAGTGCCATCAAGTCAGTTCTGACCCATAGCGACCCTGTATAGGGTTTCTGAGAAGTGGCTGGTGAGCTTGAATCACCAACCTTACAATTCAAACTGACTTTCAGTCCACCGCATTAACCCAGAGCAGCACACCAGGACTCCCGTTTATTATATGTTGTTGTTGTTAGGTGCCATCGAGTCGGTACCGACTCATAGCGACCTTATGCACAGTAGAACGAAACACTGCCTGATCCTGGGCCAACCTCACTACTGTTGCCACGCTTGAGTCCATCGATGCTGCCACTTGGCTAATCCATTTCGTTGGTGGTTTTCCTCTTTTTCTCTGACTCTCAACCTTACCAAACAATAGCTGTATATAAAACATTACTCTCCTTATCTGTTGATAGAGGTAATCAGAAATTCCCAAAATAATAAATTTCAAACGATTTTAGTTATAGTATAGTAAACCTGCACTCTCCAAAAATCGGCTGCTTTTTCATGCAACTAACTTTTATGTGCTGGACCTCTAAGTCTTTTAAATCGCAAGGTCAGTGGTTCAAACTCACCAGCTGCTCCTTGGAAACCCTATACAGGGTTGCTATGAGTCAGAACCGACTTGATAGCACTTAACAACAACAAATAGACCTGATGCTATATTACTATTTATTTGTAGAAGAGCAGACTAGAATTAAACAACCTCTATGGAGATGCCTCAGTAAAGAGCATACAGGACTTAATTGTGGTCCTAGTAAATGTTTGATTATTAGAAAAAGTATTTTTACTAGCTCCTCTTTTTTATTAGAAGCAGTAAGGGAAAAACACACAGAGCTATTTGGCTGTTGGATAATTTACAGGGTTCTTTACATTTAAACAAATGTTATGTGTATGCACTTAAATACTAAACATTTTAAGTTGAAGGTTTACAGTTAATTCTTATTTGGAATAATAAAAGAAAGCACACACACAATTATGTGCCTATCTGTACATTCACACAATACACACAATTTCTTGTGCAGCTTGAATGTTCTGAATTTAAGAGCTTAAATACATACATATTTTCTAAAATCTTATAATGCAGACAAACATGTTCTTCATGGAAGAGTCAGAACACAGTATTTTAAGTATCTGGCATAGAAAAAAGGTTATATAAAGAAGGGAGTAAGGAATATGATGACAACATAAACATTCTCACTAATCTTCAACTCCATTTTCATTTCACAGATTTGGCCTCTGAGTGATTTGGGATTTCTACGTGACAGCCCCAATGGGCACAGGTTTTCTGATGATTAGCAAGCATTTATTCTTTTGATTTATTTCCAGTTCAAATGAGTTTATTATTCTTGTCATTGAAACCATGTATTTACCAATAAACGATTTGCTATTCAGTTTTAACGGTTTCTCAGTCAGTTAAATTTGCATTATAATTTACAAACTATGTGGATATACAGACAAACATATAAACTAAAGTAAGTCATCTAAACTTTATGATGTAAAACTATTAGGCAAAAACCTGATTGAGTACTTCTGGAATTTGGGGATTTACTAGTATAATGGAAATGATAGATTCTTCTTGAACGTGTCTTATTTGTCAATAACATTTTAAATGAGAGTTGTTATTGTCATTAGGTGCCATCGAGTCGGTACAGACTCATAGCAACCTTATGAGAGCAGTTAACCTCATTTAGAAGTCCATCTGACAACACCCAGTGTTTCACATAATCCAAAACTGCTACATCACATACTTGGTCAGCTTATAGGAAGTAAAGTAAAAATGTTTCAGTGATCCCTTAAAGAATTCCTTATGGTTCTTTAAATGAGCAAGTTATAGTTCATATAGAGCATTAAATGCAGAAAAAATAAGTCTTCAGAGTTATATCTAAATTCAGCTGTAATAAAAATAACACTTTTATAAAGTCTATTTCATTGTACAAGCAGTGCAGTGATTTATTATCCATAGACACAGGCATTAATAATCTGTCTTAACTGAAAGACATAGGAAGCTAGTATAACCATATGAACTTTGTTATTTCTTTTTTTAAAGTTCCCATTTCCTAAATTACATTCTGAAATTGAAAACAGCAATGTTTCAGTGCTTACCAATACGTATTGAATATGTTAGTGTCAGAGTCAATTACATATCACAGCAACCCCCGAGGGTTTTGCAGTCTGTTATCATTATGGGAGTACATTGCAGGTCTTTTCCCCACAGAGCCACCAGGTGGTTTCGAACCACCAACCTTTTAATTAGCAGATGAGTGCTTAACACTTGTGCCACCAGGATTCATTCCTTCCTTATAGCCACATGCATTTGAAAATACAGGGCCAGGAACAGAGTTGAGCCTTCTTCCTTCTAAAGCCATCAGTCTCTATAGTTACCATATGGCCTTCTCTATTAACTTTAAAGCAACCTCATGAATATCCATATCTAGCCTTCATTATGGGTGAACTAGACTTGTATGTTATTCACCAAGATTCTAATAACCCTAGAAATTGGAGTAGAGGTCGGATAGGCTGATTGCTTTAACAGCTAGGAACATCATCTAGTCTTTTTAACATACACGATGACACACACTAAAACTGTAAGAAAAAGAATAGTCTTATGTTTACCAAGCAGAAAACACAGCAGTAATGAAGAATTCAAACAGGAATGAACTAAATGTAACTTCTGGTTCAAATCCTTTTTTGAGAGGCAATAAGAGAGTAAACATTATAAATAAATGCAAGTAATTAAAAGGAGCTCTGATAGCATAGTGGTTACGACTCAGGCTGCTAACCTCAAGCCCAGCAGTTCAAAACTACCAGTCATTCCACAGGAGAAAGAACATTAAAAAAAAGATTTACAGCCTCAGAAACCCTGTACAGGGTCACTGTGAGTCCGAACCCACTCCATGGCATGGAAGCACCCCCACCACAAGTAATTCAATTGATTTTCTATCAATCTGAGGTGGCCTCTGCTTGACAGTCTTATATTTTCTCAGCAAATAACAGAGATGACATAAAGAGACTTTTACGTCTTTAAACTCTATGTTTGCTTGAAGGAACTCTGCTCGGTATGTATGAATAAATGGTTATAGGATTTCAAGTAACGAATAATTTCAGGTACAGTGAAGAAGTTCTATAATTAGTGAACATGTATCGCAAGAAATCAGGTTGACTTCTTCTGCTTCATCCTTGAAAACTATGTATTTTCCACCACATCTGCAGCTCAGAAAGAAAGACTGATCATCTGCAAAGGGAAAAAAAAATAATTTAAATGCTTACAAGTAAATACTTCAATACTTTTGAAAATGCAGTTTTTTCCCCACAGAAATTGCAAAACAAAGCAGCATTGCTCCCCCAACAAAAATGTCTTGATCCTAATCCCTGCTACATGTGGATGTGCCCTTATTTGAAACTAGTGCTTGCAGATGTAATCAGTTAACATGAGAACATAGTAGATTTGGTCCTGATCTAATACCACTTGTGTCTTTATAAGAGGAGGTGATGAAGGAGGAGGAGAAACAAAGATGAATGCTGTGTGACAACCAAGACAGACACTGGAGGTATGCCACATGCCAGAAACACCTGGTGATACCAGGAACCTGAAGAGTTAAGGAAAGATTCCCATGGCGCCTTTGGAGTGAGAGCTTTGTCTTGTCAACAGCCTGGATTTGGACTTCCAGCCTTCAGAATGTAGAGAATGAATCTTTTTTGTTTTAAGCATCACTTACTTTGTGGTAATTTGTTATGGTAGTCTTAGGAAGCTAATGCATTAAGTAAAGACAAAATGTATTTAAATGAGAGGTAGAAAACTGTCTGGGATAGGAGCAGTACATCTATAAAATGTCTACAATCTGTATCAGTAGAAGAAATTAACTCAATAGTACAAAGATCTTGGTAGGCGGAGGAATGCTCAGAAGCAACCCTTGCCATTTATTTGAATCTTAAGTTTCAAATAAATATTATTTTCTTCTCAGTTTGTCTAAAACATCACATAAGGAATACGGAAAACAAAGCTCTACCCATCTCCAATTTGCATGGAGTGTGTATCTATACTTAACACAGATGACCTAAGGATACTGACTCAAATATATAAACACAAAACCAGGGTTTATTTCTTTTTTTTCTGTGTATTTGCTTATTGTTTGAGGTAAGTCAAATGGTACTGCTATTAGGGTTCCAGTGCATAGATGCAAGGGTTTATTCAAACAAAATGTTTCAACAAGTCTCCTGATGAGTGACTGGCTGCAGGAAAGCACTCTCAGTTACACATGCCTTATTCTCATTTAAGGTGTGTTTTAAAAAACAACAACAATCAACACAGTGCCTTCTGAAGGGATCTACTGCACCAGTTAAAATTCAGAGAGAGGTCAGCTCAGAAGATTATGGCAACTGTTTTTGGGATTCCAAAGGGCTAATATTTTTCTCGAAGTGCACAGAATGACCACAGAAGAAGTTTTAAGAAAAGTGAAAATTACACTGGTGATAAAGAAAAGTTGTGCAGAAGAATTTGTTTTAATCACAACAGTGTACCTTCTTGTTGACAATAATAAAAGTTGTTCTATGAGAATTTCATCGGGAAACTTACCCCATCCACCCTACAGACCTGACCTCGATCTTCACACTTCTTTCTGTTCCCCAAATTAAAAGAACATTAAAAAAAAAAAAAAAAAAAAAGATTTGGGGAAAGCACAGAATTCTATGGGGGAGAATTAGTTAGAAAGAGAGATGGAACCTTTAAAAGTGTAGCCCTAAATGGAGGCTCTATTGAGAAACAATTGCTTCACATTTTGATATTTTTGTTTAACAAAAGTTTATGATTTTGTAGCAGGAACCCTATTGTGGCACTGTAGGATCAGCACTGGATTGGGAACCATAACATCTGCAGTTCAAACCCACTAGCTGCTCCTCAGAAACCCTGTACAGGGGTCTGAATGTTGGAACCAACTTGACAGCACTTAACAACACTATCTGACTTACCTTGTACTTAGGAAGACAACAGAACACTCACTGAAGAGAGTTCCCAAAGAAGGCAATATGGTGCAAAGTTTAGCCTACTACTGGAGGAAATTTTAACTTTCTCATCTAACGAGAAGCTGAAATGCTTGTGCCTAGGCCTGAAAGAATCTCTGCCAATGGAGACTCCATTTTATTATCTGTGAGTCATGACTATCAAAGAAAAACTTTTATTTATTTCACTACTATTGTAATCTTTATTAGAGATAAAGTCTTTATAGGACCCAGGATTTTTTACAGTCAAATCTGTCCAATTCTCAAACTTCATTTTTTAGTACTTACATTCCATCATTTGCGCTAAAAAAAGAGAAAAATTCATCTACCTTATAGTTGCACTCTAATCATGTTCAGCCTCGGAAAAAACAGCTGTAAGTAGTCAACTTTATGGGCTTCTTTTTTTTTATCAGGATAGAAAAACAAAACACACACAAACACAAAAACGACAAAACAAAGCCCCAAACTACTGCACTCAAGTTAATTCTGACTCATACCAACTCTATAGAACACAGTAGCACTACCTTAGAGTTTCCCAAACTGTAAGTCTTTACAAAGGCAGACTGTCACATCTTTCTCCTATGGAACAGCGGGTGTGTTGGAACAGCTAAGACTTTAACCATTGTGCCAACAAGGCCCTCTTATCAGTCAAGGAGATCCTTTCTTTATCATATGCTTTTTCACTCTAGAGAGAAAAAGAATTTAATCTTGAATTTAAAAATACTAACAGCATCCCCATAACCAAGGGCTTCAAAAAGTTTATGGAAAAATTTCATGATCTTTTGATTCCATTTTTCCATGTACTTTCTGAAGCTTGATCCATGTATGTGTGTGTGTTACATTTATATATATATATACATATACATATACATATATTGTGTTAAGTGTCATCGAGTTGGTCCCGATCCATTGCAACCCTGTATAGGGTTTCCGAGGAGTGACTGGTGAGCTTGAACCACCGACCTTGCAGTTCAAACAGCTTTGCAGTCTGGCGCATTAACCCACAGCGCCATACCAGGACTCCATATACATATACATATATATATTGTTGTTGTTAAGTGCCATCGAGTCGGAACCAACCCATAGCGACCCTGAACAGGGTTTCTGAGGCTGTAAATCTTTACGGGAGCAGAATGCCTCCTCATCTTTCTCCCGCGGAGCAGCTGGTAGTTTCGAACTGCTGACCTTGTGGTTCACAGCCCGATTTGTAACCACTACGCTACCAGAATAAGATAGATAGATAGATAGATAGATAGATAGATAGATAGA